GGGGGGAAGGACGAGGAGAGGGGGGGAACTCGGAGCGGGAGGGGCATGGTATGTGGGTATGGACTAGCAAACTCACGTGTCCAGCCTTTCGCTGACCAGGACCAAGGAATGTTGACGTCGACAGTTTCGGCGAAGACACTTGGCTAACTTGAGAGCTGAGGCCTGCTCCTCCCCGTGCGTGAGAGCTTAATCGGCTGCTGGCTATGGTGGACGTGGAGATAGAAGGAGCTAGAGTGAGCGCATTGCTCCCTCCTCCTCCTCCTCGTCCTGCGCCTCCCCCCTTGACTTTCGTTGTTGATGAGTCAGACTGAGGGAAGGTGGCGGGGACGTCTTCTTGGCCGCCAATCTTGTCGATGGCCCTCCCATCGACGACCATCGCCACGGGCGGGAGGGAGGTGATACTTGGCAACTCACCTTCAGCTGCCAGCGCAGCAGCAGCACCAGCAGCACCAGCACCAGCAGCAGGATCTGGCGTTAGCGCCGGGGGTGATGACGTGGCAACAGCAGATGCTGTTGAGGACGTGGTGATCTGGTGCGGAGATAGATCGTGGCGTCTTCTTTCTCTTCCTGCACCTGCTCCTCCTCCTCCTCCTCCTCCTCCTTCACCTCCTTCCCCTGCCCTTGCTTTTCCATCCATCTCACCAAGCGTTCCCGCCACGTTAGCTGCCCCTCCGTTTGCCCTGTGCTCGGATTGGTCCACGTCATCGAGCTTGGCCATCGCCCCCCTGTCCCCCCTCCGCCCCCTCTCCTCCTCCCCCGGTCTCGTCGTCGATCCCTCGACGTCATCATCCGCTATCCTGCTGCTGTTTGTCCTTCCTTCGCCTTCGGGACGGACATGCGAAGGCGAAGGGCTCGCCAGCACCGCGGGCGCCGCCATAGCCGCCATAGCCGCATCTCTCGTCTTCGTCTTCGCCGCCATCGCCGTCGGGGCTATGGGCGACAGCAGCTGCGCGGACGAGGAAGAAGGAGCGGCATCAATGCTTCTCCTTCCTCCTGTGGACGCTTCCATAGCCGCAGCTCCTGTGGGCGACACGCTCGTAGAGTACAATTGTTGCCGTTGTTGATGATGCTGGTGGAGTTGGGATCTTTGGTACCCTGCAGCACCGAGCGGCTGAGGCACGAGTTTTCGACAGTTGGGTTCGATCAAATTAGGTAGGGATCGGAGACCTGTGAAACTGTTGGGGCTGAAGATTCGACTCAGACGCTCCCTCACCACCTGTTCCAGGTTCCACGGACCATTCTCGTTGCCAAACTGTTTAACTGAATGCATGCGTGCAGTCAGACAAACAACACACAGACACAGAGAGAGAGAGAGAGAGAGAGAGAGAGAGAGAGAGAGAGAGAGAGAGAGAGAGAGAGAGACGGC